GTGGGGGGGGGGCGCAAAAACTGGATGAATAAGAACACAGTTTTTCGTGGATTCTTAATCTTTCTACTGTCACTGTTGTTGTGGCTGTCGTCGTTGTTGCTGCTGCTGATAATACTACTGCTTCTGCTACTGCTTTATTAATGTTGCTATACAGTTGCGTTACATTTTGAAAGAAGACTTGAAAAAAATATAGGATGAATTTTTTTGGGGTATAATAGTGAGGATAGTTGTTAGTCAAAGTGTTAGAATTTGTGCACAGTTTTATTACATTTTTCCCTACTTTTAGTTTTTTTCATTTGAATCTTTTTCCTGCTGTTCAAAAGCCGCAGTACTGAGTAAGAAATTTTAATTTTTTACATTTATCTTAATCTCAGATTTTTTGCTTTAGCTTTAGCAGTACGGACAACTAGTTAACATTTTATTCCTTTACGCGACTTTTGTTCTTTGCTATTTTGATCTGTTCACCTTGATGTTGCCATTTAATATTTTCGAACGTCTGATACGACTGGCGATACGATATAAAAATCAACAATTTACATTGTTGCTGAAAAACTGTTTGAAGAAAAAAAGAACAATTGTTTTTACAGGGAGCTTGGTGGAGTTTTCGGAATGAAAATATACAACGGTCAGGAAAATTCTTGTGAACAGAACAATTTCGAAAACAGTGATAAAACCTATAACGATTATGTTCAAGACCTTGAACACCCAAACATAGAAACCGACAATGTTATCTTATTAATAGCAAAAATGTCTGAAGATGACGATACTTTATGTAACAGTGAGGAATCAAAAGATGCCACAGTCACCACCGATACAAATAATCCAGATCCAGTACAAAGCTTGTCGTTTGGTGGGAAAATAAGGAATCGTTTGGGTCTGAAACTGCTAATTGAAGCAACTGATAAGGCAGATTCTGAAGTTGATGGTCCAGAAGGGCAGGGTGTTTGGAATCCCGATGTAAGTATGTGATGGTTCTGATTTTGTTGAGTAAATATGAAGTATAGTTCAAGGTTATCAATTTGTTTTTATGTAGCTTGCAGCTCCATAATGGTTTTTTATTTATTTGTTTCTTTTTTTTCTTTGTTTTTATTTTGACCAAACTTTTTCTGATATTATTTTTAGGTCACTATATCGTTTTCAACGTGGTATCACACTGTTTGCTATAATTTTTTTCCCTTGCCTTGAAAATATGCATATTAATTATTCAGGGAGCTGAAGACTCATCGCCTTGTTCGCCACTAAGCGCAAGTAGCGGTTCCAGCACAGCCTCTGGCGACGATTCTGGTTTTTCGTCAGATGAAAACAGATCAAATGAAAAAACATACAAGCTGTAAGCTTTTGAATTTTTTATGCTTTAGGCTTGCCAGGCAAAACAGTCTGTTGGTGTTTGTTTCAGTTATTTATCACCATCATGAAAACTACTTTTCATTGAAAAATAAACACTGATTTTATAAAATTATAGTGCGCGCACAAAATCCTTACGCTCAGCACTCAAATCACCAACCCATGTTGGAAAGCAGAAGACAGTTCGTTTTGCTGACTCGCTGGGTCTCGATTTGGTGCAAAAGACTTATTTTGAATCAGACGATGTGCTAGATCATGAGTAAACCTTTACTTTCCTTTATACTACTGCTTTTATTTGCTCTCTTGACAATTTCTGCCTCTAAAAGATTTTGAAAAAGTTAAAAAGAACTAAGGATTGCGATATGGGGAAAGTCTGACATTTTTTCTGCGTTCCCTTTTCCTTCATGATACTGTATTTGTTATACACTGATGGTGACGTTCAGGTTCATCTCACCGCTAACACTCACCCAAAATCAAGAACGATTTCAAAAAGTGTCATGCTTAAAATCAATGAACATTGGCAATCGATCAGAGGGCGAAATCAGCCACTTGGCCCGTACAAAGTGCGTTTGTTTGAGCTCCATCAGTATCACGGACACAAACCTTTCCGGTATTATTCATGTGCTGAACTTGGCATGCGACAAGCAGGTTTGTCATCTGTAACATTCACTTTTTCAACCTGTTTTTCTTTTTTACTTATTTGCTCCCTGCTGTTTCTTTCAACAGTCTTCATAGTTATTTCAAATGATTTTTCAAAACATTTTAGGTTTGTGTCCGATATACCACTGATAGTTGGGCATCCTTCTCTGAAACTCGAGCAATCTTTACTCGTTCAGTTGGGAGCGACGGAGCTGTAGATTCGTTTAGTTTCTTCATTGCACTGCCAAATGACATCCCTGTAAGTTATTTTCACAGCTATAGCCTCAGTTTTTATTTTATTTATTATTTGAAAGACTTTGTGAGGTGAAACTAGTTGGATTAATTTTGAGACTGTTACTCGTAACACACTTATAACACATCAGTCTTTTGTTGTAGATTGGCGCTACATGTGAATTCTGCATCCGATACAGCGTCAATGACACATCATACTGGGATAACAACTGCGGGGAAAACTACAAGTTACAATGTGTTGGTGAAACAAGAGAAAAAAGGATCACAGAAGTAGCACAAAAATTCAATTATGTTAGAAATTCCTCGGACAAAAAGAACGAGTATGGCGGCCGCAGAAAGAGTTTTCTTGTCTGCGATGAAGATGAAGATGAAGACTATTACTATTATACGCCCTCGTATAATCTAAGTTCGGTGAAAAAAGGCTATTTTGAACAGCGTTTTGGGTGTTCATACGGTGATCATCTACACTTTTATTAAATGTAAACTCTTTACTTTGTTTTTTATTTTTCAGATAATCTTTGACTAAAAAACCCCTAATCAATTTAGTATGCAGGGTGCCCTTTTAAAAGTATTGAAAATTGAATGGAAAATAATTGTCTGTTTTTTAGACAGCGTGTCTGAAAGGGTTCATGGAGCTGAACTGACAAGTCCATTTTTTTCTGTTCTAAAGGATACGCGCTAATGGAGGTATTCCGACGGAAGAAAATATGTAAATGTTATATAAACTTAGAAAACGAAAAAAAAAA